AACTACCACTTCATGTGGTTGCTATATGCTAACTACTGTTCTAAGTAATGTACATGTATTAACTTAATGATCAGAAGATAGAGTTTATTCATTTGAAAGAGCAAAAATCTAAGGCACGAGCATATTGTGCAAATTTTCCAAGTTATTCTACTAGCAAGTGACATAACTAGGGTTTAGAAAGTTTCTGCTTTTCACTACTTACACCTCGTTACCCTCTCAAAAACTCCAAGGAGATTCAATGGACTGTGTAAGTAGTGAAGACAGGCACAACGGTTTTCAATATCGGTGACTTCCATGTTCTAATGCTAACATTCATATTAAATTTTCACATTTGATCCCTCTTTCAAGCGCCAAGTAATGAAAGGACACAGCAAATTGTTTATAAATGTGTGTGCTTAGAAATTCCATTCTACTTTTGCCCCCTGAGTACCCCTGAGAAGCCAATGTTAACATGCACTGGTGCTAAACCAAAATATATAGATCCTAGAAGCTTTCTTGCTCCCATCATTAACCATTTTGGAGAACTTGTCAGGATGCCTCCTGGAATGGTGTCTTTTTGCCCACACTCCCTTCCATCACCCTCAGTCTCACCTCTACTTTCATCTCCCTGGGCATCTCTTGGACTTGCCATTCCTGGCTCTCAGGATCACAGCTGAGCCCAGGCAGCACCTGCACATGCACATGGAGTAAACCAGCTGTTTGCTGTTTCCACCCCTCCCTCCCTCCCTCCTTGGCAGCAGCACCACCCCATGCAACATGATTCCGAATCCCTGGATACAGAATTTTAGCAGGCAGCAGTAGAGACTGAGAAGGGAACGGAGGGAGCACCAGGGCAATCACTGCCTGGAATATTTCACTGGAGATGGAAACACATTAGGAGGATGTTTAAGCCTAAAAAGCCACTGGTTCTCAACTGATTTGGTTCACACAGGGAATTACTTCTGCAGGACAGTGCTTAAAGGCATGTGCTCCAAGGTCAAAGTGTGTAGTTTGGAATCCCAGCACTGCCATTTACCAAGTACAGTCCTGGATAAGTGATTTGATGTGTCTGTCACCTTCATGTAGAAGATAGTGCATATGAGACTCTGAGCTCAACACTTGGTGATGACAGTATGTTACCCACAAGGGTCTGTTATTATTAGAGTCATAAAGCTCTAGACTTGGGTGGCCTTTTAGAGCTCAGGTCCTACCTTTTACTGATAGGGAAACTGAGAAAAAGAAAGAAAGTAAGTTGGCTGAAGGTACATGCAGATTTTCCTATACAACAGACCAGAATATTTGCCATACCACTGTCAGCCTTTCTAGAAACTGCTGCCTCTATTGTTTATGCTTCATATATTACAGGCAATGTTTGTAAGTTGTTCTTCCTCTTGAATTGACTGGTTTATGCTGAGCCATTATCTCACCTGCCTGCTCCAAGGAAGGAAGAAAACTAGACGGAATCAGGGATGCCCGAGATGGGATGGATCACAGAGAGTTACCAGCATCCACCACAGCCTCACAAACACAGCTGTGGCCGATGAAATAATCAGCTTCACACAGACCTACAATAAAAAACAAAAACGTGGGGCCATACTGACCACAGATGTCATCTCTCCAATTCCTTGCCAATAGTAGGTTGACAGAAATAGGTCCTGATGTATATTAGAAGGGCCTGTGGAAGAGTATACTCATTGAATTCAAGTCCTATCTTCATTAATCCAATCCAAACAACAAAGAAAAAATGTAGAAATAGTTTTAACTCTGAATTGACTGGAATAAAAAGGATAAGATTATATGATTCACGTGGTAGTGGTCTAGCCTTACAGTAAATTCTGAGCTAAGTGAAGGGGAAAGGCTGTCCTGCAATATTTCAAGAGTCCCTTGATTAGGCAGTTAAGTGGTCTCCAGCCTACCAACAATCTAATCCCACTGTACCTTTCAATTGGTTGTTCCTATTTTTCTCTCAGTTTGGATCCTCCAGACCTGGTCTGGAAAACCTTTGCATGTCTTCTTATTGCCCTCAGGAAAAAAAAAAAAAACAAATAACCACAGGTAAAACTAATCATTCACATCTACATATTACCTGGGAAGAATCTCTAATACCCATTTGTCCTTACCAATTCTCCCTGTCCCAAGTCTTATTACTCCCCCACATACTACAAACAGTATTTCATTTTAGGGACTACAATAATGAATAATACAATTGTCCTTGAAAATCTGTTGGGAAGAAGTCACACTAAAGACTGGCATGCTGTGTGAATCCAAAAGGTCCAGCTTCTTGTCCATCCATCTTTGAAATGGTTACTGCTCAGAGGGAATCAGCACCCTATTCTCCATCCACTGCTCTCTTCAGAGACATACTTAATCTATCCTGTGTTGGTACACAAAGCCACCCCATATTCTCAAAACTATTATCACTCTTGGCTCAGCATAAACATTTAAAATTATGTTAAAGACTGCAAGATTTATCCCGAGCCATCTTTTCTCTCTAACTCCAGTGTTGCTGCCTTTGGCATTGTTCCACTCTCTCACCAAACTGCTCCTACACTATTTCCAGTCTTTTCATTAACTGACTTCTATCTCTGCCTCCTGCAGCTGAGAAAAATCTTCTAAAATACAGATCTGCTCAGGTCTCTGCTTAAAAGTCTGTGATTGCTTCCAATGCATTTTAAAGTCCACACAACTTGGATGACACGCAAGTCTTGTTAAGCAGATGCTTACTACATGCACTTCCTATGTGTGCATTGGCTCCAAAAGTCTACAGGATCCAGAGAAGTAACATAAACAAATGAAGTAGAAATAATAGGCACTGTGGAGGAACGGCGGACCAGAGAGCCCCTCTAGAGCTGCACAGTCTTGCCATCTCTTTTTCATCAGAATGTAGAGTATTTTTTTAGGAGAAATCTTTCCATTTCTCAAAGTTCAAGTCAATTTATTTTTCAAAAAATTACTAGTCAGTTCAAAAATATGCATATTTAGGCCAAATTTGAGACAGAGCTCACCAGTTTGTTAGTCTGTGCTATATTATGGTATAAACTATTTACTTTGACAAAAAAAGGTCCTGATGTATATTAGAAGGGCCTGTGGAAGAGTATATTCATTGAATTCAAGTCCTATCTTCATTAATCCAATCCAAACAACAAAGAAAAAATGTAGAAATAGTTTTAACTCTGAATTGACTGGAATAAAAAGGATAAGATTATATGATTCACGTGGTAGTGGTCTAGCCTTACAGTAAATTCTGAGCCCCTCCTTTAAGCTAAGTCATCTTGGGAAATAAATCAGATGTGACTGATACTTCTTCATTCACATCCACCAGCATCTGCAAAACATCCATCTGGATCTAGAAAGAATTACTGATTGCAGGCCTAGACTCTGCAGGCTCTACTTGCATGTGGTCCTGCCCTATAGAGCTGATTGAGCGTCTTCCTGGGGTCTGGGGAGGCCTTAGAAGGACAGCCTTCACTTGTTTTAATCTTGCTTACTCCAAAATAAATCTCTTCACCCAGCTCAGGTATTACCCTCATCATTGCTAGTCCCCAAATATCTGTGCAGACCTGTCCTTTGGACTAAAACCTTCATAACATATCTGGAGATAACCAGGTGGAAATGAGGGTGGTGGGGTGTTTTTGCTTTTTATAGACCTTTTTTTTAGGCAGTTTGAGCAGAAGGTACAGAGAGTCCCATATATCCCTGCCCCCCACATGCAGAGCCTCCCCCATTATCAACATCCCCTAAGTGGCAGAGTGTGGTTGTTTTTTTTTTTCATCCCTCCTGTTCACATTCTGAACTTTCTTCTGACTATTCCTTCCTTGTCACAAACTGGCAGCTCCCATAATAAATATTGGAGCATATCTTGTTTTCTCCTCAGCTTTTTATTTCTGCTTTGAAGGTGCTTCTGTTTTTACTAAAACCTTAGAAACTTCCATCACCCTCAAACCACACACAAAAAGAAGTTGGGAGAACATGTAATTATTTCAAATCTCAACACCACTTTTGAGTAACTACAAAAAAGGAAGTTTTTGAGACCCATAAAGAGAAAATGAAGGTTCAACTAGACTAAAACCTGAGAGGGTGACAGAAGCCAGACACCCTAAATCCCAGCCCAGTCTTCTTTCTACTGGGAGAACACTTTTTACAAGCTCTCACCTTTGGAGAATAGCATCTGATAATCCATTAATGAAACACTTTGGGGGTTGAGGTGCTCGCTGACCAGATCCTTGTCAGAATGAATCACTTCTCTGAGACAAACTGCTGTAGGGAAAGGGGCTGGTGTGTGTGTGTGTGGGGGGGGTGCGTGTGTAGGGGTGGAGGAAGGAGGCCTGCGTTTTCATAAGAATAATAAATTACAGTACATACATTTTGGTCAAGTTCAGATGCAGTGGAAAGCAGAGTAGGCTGAGAATCAAGTACTTGGGGATGCTAACTTGCTGTGTAATCTTAGGGAAATCAGATTTCCTCTCCAGGTCTCAGTTTCCTACTCTAGAAAGTATAAACATTTCTTATAATCCTTGCAGAAATACAAGCTTCTAGAAGAGAACATAAAAGGAAGAAAGGAACAGATGGAGGGAAGGAATAGCAGAAGGAAGCTTCCCAAAAAGGAGAGAAGTGTGTGTGGGAGGGTAGGAGAGGTGGAGATAGGAAATGCCTTTTAATAAAATAGCAAAAGAAAGAGTTTAAAATGAAACTGTGGGTCTTTTGAAGAGCTCTATTTTTTCATCTTTATGCATTTTTAGTGTTTACACATGCATAGTAGTTTTTGGATAAATGTAGATTGAATGAATGGGAAGCCCGAGAAGGCTCAAAAGCAGAGATAGGCGAGGGGAGGAGTGAGAGGGAACAAGCACGGGAGCGCTCTGCGTACCTGCGCCTCCTCAGGCTGCCCGCACCCCGCGGGCGGGACCCTTCGACCCCGGGCCGCAGGCCGCCGCGGCTCCCGCGCTCCGCCCCGCTTTCCCCAGGGCCGCCCTGACACCGCCAGGGGGCTCTGCGCCGCGGCCGGCTGGCCGGGGGAGGAGCCGCTTTAAATCGCGGCTCCCGGCGAGTCGGCGTCTCAGTCCCAGAGTCTGAAAGCAGCGTAGCATCTCGCATCCCGACTCCAGCGGCGACCCGGACCCGACCCACAACTTCTTCAGCTGTGGTTCAGGGAGCAGGGCTCCCCCCTCAGTTATTACCTCGGCGCGGCTCCGCCACCCCCGGGAGTCCCGGGTGCGCACCTGCAAACTCCGCCTTCTGCACCTGCCACTCCCGAGCCAGCGCGGCGGCCGAGCGAGCCATGGCCAACGCGGGGCTGCAGCTGCTAGGTTTCATCCTGGCTTTCCTGGGCTGGATCGGCGCCATCGTGAGCACGGCGTTGTCCCGGTGGAAGATTTACAGCTACGCCAACGACAACATCGTGACGGCTCAGGCCATCTACGAGGGGCTGTGGATGTCCTGCGTGTCGCAGAGCACCGGGCAGATCCAGTGCAAAGTCTTCGACTCCTTGCTGAACCTCAACAGTGAGTGCACTCCCCACCCCCACCCCCGCTGTGACCCAGAGACCCCAACCCCGCAGTGGCTCCCCATTTTGGAGTAGTGGCTACCAAACGATTCTATTGTGATTGCATGGTGAAAAGTCTTCAGTAGATCAATGTCTTATCGTTACTCTGTCCTGAGAAGGTGGAGAGAGGCATGGTCTGAGTAAAGAAAGACCCAGGCCTAAGCTCCAGCTTTTCCTCTAGCCCCTGGGTGACACTTGCCTGCTCCTCTAGGTGTGGTTTGATCCTGCACTCCCTGACAGTGGGTTGGAGACTGAGTGGGTGAAGGTCAAACTCAGGCTTGGGCTCTTAGGCCTCATCTAGATGTTCTAAGGTTCTGTGTAAGCTGAGGAATGGTAGGCTTAGACTACAGAATGGTATGTCTTGAAAAATTTGGACCCTGGTAGCTTCTCAAATTTGTACAATTAAATAGATAATCGCAAAGTACTGTATAAGTCGTATGTGTGTGTTTTCCAATCTATCTTTGCTGTGAGTTTTCATAGTAAAGTCACATTCCTACATGGAATGTCCTAACCAGTATCTTCTACTCACACTTGAGTTTGAGTCATTTGTTTCTTTTTCTTTTCAAGACCCGGTAGGTGTGGGAGGCCCCTTTACACCTCCTTCCATGACTCCTTAAAGAAGTCTCTTGAGACTCCCCTGAAGGGTTTAGTTTCCAAGCCATGGGCCTGCAGAGGACGCAGATTGTGTAATGGTATTTTAAAGTGAAGGCTGGTGGCAGGTGGAAAAAGGATGACAAAAAGTAAGTTCTAAATGACCTGCCATTAGACTGAAGGCATTAAAGAAAAAACCACATAGGAGACACAGCTGCTGAAAGCAGAGGTCAGCTGGGAAGGAAGGCAGTGAGAAAACTAGTGTGGCTTCTCCAGCTTTCCATCTCCCACAAAGGAATTTCTGTGTAACAGATATTTCTTCTTTACTTCTGTCAAGCTGGAAAAGATTACATAGAAGTATTTCTAAGGATGGTGGGGAAAAGGATGATAGGATGTCCTTTTCCCTTTTGTTTTAAATAAAAGCTTTTGAGTGCCTTGTCAGAAACTCACTCAATTCCCACTTACTTCAGTGCATGGCTGGAGTATGTTCCTTAAGATAGTACATTAGTTGTCCTGCCCTTTGTGTCTGTTATGCCCTGAGCTAACATGAAGAAAGCTTCCTTGGTCTTTGCCTAGATGAACAAGCCTGCCCACTGGCTTCCTTTGTGTGCTGGCTGTGAGGAGTGTTGTCATTGCTCCAGTTTACTGCAGTTGCCTTGTCCACCTCTTGCATGTGGTTTCGTCAAAGGCCGTATAGAGTTGAAGTAACTGAAGACCCCCTCAGTTACTTCCTCCGATTCTGTCTGAATCTTTTTAAACATCTTGAACACCTGTGGTATTTGGTTTAGTCAGTGTGCATGGTGGTTCTGAGAGTTATTTCAGCTTTGCCAAGTTCCCATACACTAGGATTCCTTTATAAAGAATATAATAGGCATACTCCTTTATATAATCATTGAATCTCCCCATGCAAAAATAAATACACATGTGATACGTAAAGGCATTTTGAGTGTCATACTGAGGAATCAGTGGATGGAGAAGGTTCTAAGGGCAATTCCAGAGGTCTTTGATTCTAAACAAAACAGTTCATTTTCAAAATGTTTTAAGATGTTTCCTTTTAACTTCCTTAAATGGCCAAATGGAATCAGATTGATCCATACTGTAAATCTCAAACAGGTCATCCCTACATGTGTTCAACCATTTTACTTTCATTTATTACTAGTTAATATAGCTTTTGCAGTTTTTGAAGCTGTGGTGGAAGAACTAAACAATACTCCCCCCATCTGTACATATTTTGGAGATTTCTTCTTGATGGCTTTTTTTTTTTTAAAAAAAAAGATTCCTCTTTTCATTTTGGCTAAAGCCGGTTTATTCAAGGTGGGGGCGAGGCCTTTCTCTCAAAACGGATTCCCAGAAGAGGGAGCCTTGACTCACAGGTACTCTCAGCCTTCTGATGACTCACTGAATGCCTTTGGATAAGGCCCAGAGAACTTGTCCTGTTTCTTTACCTGGGCTGTGATGCTTACACCCACCTGATATAGAGACCTGCGGTGGTGGTGATTCATTGGCTGGTTTGGGTATATTTCTGTGGCATCTAGAGGTGAACAGGATTTTCTGTATGTATAAGTAGTGGTCCTTGTAAAAGGTTACTTTCCACAAAGTGCTTTTAGGTGAAAAGCTTGGCTAGCAATTCCCTGAAATTGAACCTTGTTCTATTTGCCAGTAGAATCTACTTGTCATCTTATGATTGAGGTACAGGGATTTATCAAGGTTGTGGCATTAGACATGTTAAAAGCCTTTGTGTGCTCTAACTAGTGTCAGCTATAAAAAGTACATCATATGCTAAAGGGGTACAGTGTGCTCAAACAAAAATATAGGAGATGAAATACCACAGGCCTTCTTTCAGATGGTTCTTGCAAAGCAGTTTGTAAGAATGTAACTGAGAAACTTCCTGGGAAAATGAATGTTCCACTGTGTACTGTGGTTTTACTGTGACTGAGACCATGTTAGTCCCATCCAGAGTATGTGATATTTATCCACAGTGATTATTCCTGCCGCTGATAGTTGGAATATATAAAGGACAGTGCCAGATGCAGTTGCAGTACAGGTTTCTTGATTAAACTATACATCTTGCCTTGTTTTTATCCAATTCCCAAACTTTTGGCAAGAGAGGACTATTTTTTTTTGAGGAACATTATGTTTACTAGGTTCCCCCCTTCACCAAGTCTCCCCATACAACCCCTATTACAGTCACTGTCCATCAGCGTAGTAAGATGCTGTAGAATCACTACTTCTCTGTGTTGCACAGCCCTCCCCATGCATCCCCCATATTATCTCCCCCCCTTTATCTCCCCCCCCTTATCCCTCCCTTCCCACCCATCCTTCCCAGTCCCTTTCCCTTTGGTAACTGTTAGTCCATTCTTGGGTTCTGTGATTCTGCTGAAGAGAGGACTATTTTATGTGCTTAGTTAATTTTTTCTTCTTGCTTGACTTTAATCACTAGAGCTGTCCAAAGATTGGGCTGTCTTGGGAGGCTGAATGGTGGGAGGTGTGCAATCAGAGAAATAAGTAAGCATTTTGTAGGAACGTTGTAGAGAAATTCCAAGCACCAGACAAATGGGAGGTTAAGCTACACTCTAGTTTCATCTAACCTTGGGATTCTGTAATTTGTGTATGAACTCCTCTAGCCTGTTGAACTTGCTTTGCATGAATCTACCTCTGTGGGGTGTGCTTAATGAGTACTGGTTGTCATTGAGGTTTCCCAGCACTCTCCCCATGATGTTAGGTTAATCAAGGGACCACATCACTGACTTGGACAGTCTTTGAAGCACAGGCAGAGAGGAGGGCACCCACTTAACACTTCCCCAGACTGAGTTATGCCTGCTGAACCAAGGGTGTTCAGGAGGCCATTTGTGTTCAGATCTGTTTCAAGAATTAGCTTTGATTCTTATAATTACGGAAGTCAAAACAAAACTCCAGGCTTGAGATGAGAAGTTTTCAGTTCCTACCCTGGCTCTGTACTAACCAGCCACGTGTGTAATGATGAACCACTTGATCTCTCTGGGCTGTAGTTTCCCATTTATAAAATAGGGCAGAATGGGAGGAATGGGGAGATGAATCCATGATTCATTCCTCCATTCAACACATGTGAATCAGGCCCTCTTCTTGCTCCTAGGGATGCAAGATGCCAAAGTTGTTGCCACTGTTGATCCCTGCCAGTGCCAGTGTTCTTTGTTACTAACAGCAGTGATTGAAAACAAAGAAGCAGCTGGCATGGTTTCGGTTTCCTTTATTGAGTGTTGAGTAAGTGACATGGAGGAAAAATGGAAGCATAAATTTAATTATGAGGCAGTTAAGAAACAAAGAAACGTACAAAACTGCTCAAGACAATCTGGAAAGTGTTAAGGCTGCCTCATCCAGACCACTTCAGTTACTCACTGTGTGCTGTTTCTGAGGTCACGCCCAGTGGCTCATGCACCAATAAAATGCAAATGCTAACAGTGAGCACTCTTGAGAAATTTTGAACTTGAGTAAAAGCAAAAGATTTAGTAAGTGAAAAAGCCATGGGAGTACACTTCTGTGACAGTCTGTAATGAGCTAATCTAATTGGCGAGGAAAAGAGCATTTTTGTTCCACTCACCTAATGGTCAGTTCATTTATTTGCCTAATACTTAGGCACTATTGATTCAAAGAAAGACTGTGTGAGGATACACATGCAATTAAAATCTATTTAATGATGTATAGTATGTAGGGCAATAATGCAGGAATACGACTAGTAAACAGAAAAAACATTTTCAGGTATTTAAGGAGATCCTTCTGCCTGTATAGTAAGAATTCAGAAAAAAAATCTACATACTTGTCTATGCTTGTCTTTCTATACTTCTGTGGATTAACCTAATTGTAGTATATGGGTAACTTCTAACTTATTTCTTGTCTTATAAGTAGAGATCTTTATAAGTTTTTTTTTTTTCCAAATTATACTTTCAGGTTGAAAGTGGTAAGAACTCCTTAGGGGGTCTTTAATCTCAAGATTATCAGTCTAGCTAAGTATAGTTAAAGGACTGCCTTCTCAGTTTACTGCTGAATAGTGATGAGAAGCAATAGTGTAACTTTCTGAATGTTTGCTAGCAGTTTCTCCACCACTTTAGTCAGTGGTAATAATACAGCAGAGGTATCTGCAGATTTAAAGGGATAGGAAAGAAACATATTTGCTTCCAGAATATGCAGTCAGGCCAAGTCAGAGTTAATTGTCCAAGGCAATACTTCATCTCTCTGGTACAGAATATTATTTTGTGGCTTTCAGACATTTCTCAGAGTTGCTACTCTGCTGATCTTTATTCCACTAGGAAAAAACTTCATCTTGGAAGCTCATTTGATGCATGATTTTAAAATTCAGAAAAATTTAAAAAATAGATCAATTTAGCAGAGTATTTTTTTTCTTCCCTGTATGAATTTCTAGCTTTTAACAATCTTAGACTAAGTTTGGCTGAATGAAGCAAAATTTTAGCATCCCCAGTCTCTCTAGAGAGGCATTTCTCAGTATTATTTCAAAGATTAAGCCAAACACGAGAATATTTTTACCTATCATCTTAGCACAATTTGAAAGAATAAAGACATGTTCTAGTTGAAATTAATTGAACACAGATTAAGTAATCCATGTAGCTTTCCAGGTACCTACTGTTCTTAGTGTTTTGGATGCAAATATGAACATACATCTGGCTTGAGTTACCACGGAGCTTCACAAAGACATATTTAAAAGCTCTGACATAAAAGGATTCCATAGACCTTAATTTAAAGATTCATCTGGTTCCAACTTAAAACTGTGCAATTTAGATTCTACCTGTACATTAAACTCTCATAACTTGCAACAACCCTTGCTTAGTTTGACTTATAATCCTTGTTACATATGCCTGGCTAGTGAGTTTACATGTTGTTGTGATTCATCACCTCTTTTTTTTTATATTTTCCCCCACTTGTCACTACAGTTAAGAATTCATCCAAATGTCTCCAGTGAAGGAAGATGAGATTTTGTGTTTGATGCCCATCTAGAATTGTAAAATACAAAGAAATTTCACAACTCAATGGATGTTAATGCTTTGTAAAATAACACTATTATACTATCACTTTTTAAAAAACTGAAACATGATCTCCAGCTCTGTATGGTCTATATGATTCTTAAGGATATTTCCCCTTTCTCTCCATTATTTTTTGTGCATTATACAAATAATGCATTATTCTGTAAAGCAAGAAAACATAGTAGGGTTTGTAGCAAACAGAGCAAAATATGTGTTCCCTCCCTCCTGGAAATTTTGTACAACAAGGAAAGAGTAAAATGGGTTTGGCATGAATCAAATGTATTTACCTTGAGAACTTGAAGGGAAAAAAATTTAGAGATGAAGACTGAATATTAGATCATCCCCGGTGAGTGCACATGGAGGCCTGGAGTCATTTATCCACGTGTGCTCCCTGCCTGGGTGGTTTATACAAGCCTGACTCATGAGACTGAGGCCCAGGAGACTCCTCGTGAAGATACCTTGTGATCCAAGTGCTCAGACCTGCTGGGCTGGTAGCCTGCAGATTGTACATGAAGTACTGATCAGAATGGTTATTATAGAATCAGGGTCTGGTTTGGGTCCCTACAATTCAAACAAAGAGGAAAATTTGGAGAGAGATTAGAGAAAGAAACAAAAGTGATTGATAAAGAATTGGAGGACAGTATTGATGAGAAAACAAAGCAGAGGAGGAGGTATAGGAAGCTATACGTACTTGAAGGACTATCATAGGAAGAACATTTACTCGTTGTGCTCTCTGTACCAAGAGTAAAATTCCTATCCTCCTACTCTAACACCCTCCAATGACTTGTGATTACAATTAAAATAAAAGCCAAACTCGCTATCCTAGCTTGCAAAGCCCTGTATGATATATGCCTTCCACCCACCTTGCTAACCCCCCTCTCATTTTCCTGCCCACATCCTGTCATCCTCCTGTGGAGTGACCAGGATTGAGAGCCTTTTCAGGATGCAGGGCTGGTAGTTTTACAACCAAGCCAGTCCCAGGTAAAGGATGGGTGGTCATTCTGTTTTCTGGGCATAAGGATCATCTTTGTGACTTTCAGCATCTCCTCTTCCAGAATTTGTTTTCCTGATAGGCTTTCCTTCTCAGTAAAATTTAGGACTGAATCTGAATTCTGCATTATGAATGAGTGTTTAGTTATTTTAGTTTTCATTTCCTTTCTAAGTAAATGATTGTGCAAAAGCAATTGGTAAATCAGAAGGAATGACACACTCAATAATTGTGGAGTCCTTGGTACTTTCCTTTTCATACCACAGTGTGGCTTGAGACTCCCAGGAAGTTGTTTTTTAATAATTTTATAAGCAGTTTCATTTCCTAGTAAACCCATGGTCTATAGAACATGTGTTTTGATTCAGCAGTTCTTATAACATCCTGGGATCTTAGGAGAAGTCCGTGGGTTTGGTGCACATGTGCCTACACAAGCTTATGAGAAGGTGGATATGTAAGGGCAGGTAGGGAGCATCTCTGTTTTGCTTATTAATTAAACCAAGTAAAAATTTTTCTTGACTTCCAAATATCATTTAAATACAATAAAAATATACATTTGATACTTCTTAGAAAGAGGCTACTATGACTTTACCATAGAGTGTCTGGTTCTGACAAGGATGGAAATATTAACAAATTAAAATGGATGTTTTATAAATATTTAGTGTTGATTATGATTGGTAACAAATGATTTCTCAACTCTGAAAATACTAAGCTCGAGCCTACTGCTAAATTAGATAGAGACACAAAATCTATCCATCATGGCAGCCACTTTTGAAGACCATCCAAGAAACCCATTGTTCCAACTCCCTGACTAGAGAGGATCATCATTCACACTTTATATAACAGGAGCATGGTTTAAAAGAATAATAAATAGCTTACCCAAGATAGCACTATTTGATACAATTAAAATCATACTTATATATGCAAAAATACTTGCCACATGTTAACACTGTCAATGAGATAATGATCTTTATTTGAAGGAGGAAATCTAGAATTAATCAAACTCATATAATCAGTGTAATTTCAGCTCACTTTTAAAAAAAATCTGTGACTTCATGCCATACTGATGGTATCACGCTTTCACTCTTGAAAGAATATACTGGCACAGTGGCACTTGCATAGCATGGAGAATATAGTCAGTGATTCTGTAACATATTTCTAACATTGACTTATAGTAACCACACTAGAAGGGGTGAGGATTTAGTGATATGGGGAACTGTTAAACCACTGTTTTGTACATTTGATACCAACATAAGATTGTATATCAATGATACTTCAATTAAAAAAAGAATATACTGGCATAATATGTCGAACCATTTGATCATGACTTAAAACATCAACAAAAATAACAGGATAGTAGAAGATTAGTAGAGTCGTGTGTTTTACAACATGACCCATTTAAATAGTTTTTAAAAACTGGTGATAACTTTGAATATGAATCTACTATGTTCCAAGTAACAGCTCGAAAGGTATTTTGTTTTGTTCTAAGAATGGCATTCACATCCCCGCCCTAGTCACAGGAGATTAAAGTTATTTACTCAGCATGGTGATCTATAAGAAATTCATTTCTTATCTTCCAAACTCATTCACTTTCTTCTGAAGCTTGATGATTGGACTCAAATGCTGTTAACTATTACCAAGATATATGTAAACCATTTTAATTAAAATTGGTTTAACATTAAGGATAATACTTGTGATTGTTTCAGAATTAAATACTCCATTAGTAAGGATTAGGGGTGCATTAATTCAGCTAAACTTATTCAACCAGACTGTTAATTATTTGTCCAGGGGATTTTGAATAATGTTGAAAATATAGGATATTAGAGCTGGAGGGCTCTTTATTCATCATCCAGCTAGGCATTTGTTTTACTGGAGAAGAAAGTATGTTATTTACTGCAGAACCATCACTACAACTGGGGCCACCTAGTCCAGTTTGTCTCTTCCATACAATATGGAAAGATACTTGGTCTTCTACTATTCTTCTCTTGTTGGTGTAGGTATAATTCTTACATCTGCTATAACATTTTCTGCCAGGTACTTTGCAAGCAACTCGTGCCTTGATGGTGATTGGCATCCTGCTAGGACTAATAGCCATCTGTGTGGCCACTATTGGCATGAAATGTATGAAGTGCATGGAAGATGACGAGGTGCAGAAGATGCGGATGGCTGTCTTTGGGGGCGTGATATTTCTTATTTCAGGTAAGAAGGGCCCTGTCCCCTTTGCACCTTACAAAACTGTCCCTGGCATGATTTAAGATCTAGTTTTAGGCTTCCTTAGGCTGTGTTGGATTTATGACACTTGTGTTGATTTATTTCAGTTCCTTTAAAATCTGAAGACATAGAAACCTGAAGTCCAGTTGACTTTCTCATTCTCAAATGGGAACCAAATAAAAATTTAAGATCTGTGCTTACAGTAGACTGGCCTATTCATTGAGCTTCCAGGTACCAACTGGTTTGTTAGCAGTAACCAGTTCCCCCAGGTGAGGAGGGAGATTTTTTTGTCTAGCCAACACTAAGGAACAATTTGATATTAACTCAGAAAATTTCTGTGGTGTCTCCACAGACACTCTGGCAAAGATGGGAATAGTGAGAGAGAACATAAGAAAAATGTGCGAATCAAGCCAGTCTGTCAGAAATGGATGGGAATGGGATTACTGGAGAAAAATGAGGTTAGTATTCCAGGTGGGCAGATCTGATTCTGGAATAAACGGGATGTACTGATAGATGAGTGAAGAGAGAGGCCAGTTGGAGTGGAGTAAAATATTGGAATGGTAGGAAATTAGATTAAATGGATTAAGGAGAAAACAACCCAGAAAGGTCTTGAGTGAACCTTGATAAAGTAATGAGACTGTATTTTCCATAGAAAATGAATGTGTATTTGTTGCTTCATTCAACTGGTGATTGATGAGTTACTGTGCGAACTTTGAGAAGATGAGAACCAGAAAAAGACATGGAAAGTTGCATTGTAAAGCCTTTGTAATAAGGCTTATATTGAATAAGATTGTGTGTATTTACATATAGAATAAGCTACTGTATATATTTTTACATAGTATGTATGTATTATATAGTATATATAGTAGTATATTGCTTTTGAAAATGACACCAGTAATATACTCTACCACTAGGAAAAGTTAGAATTGGACTTTCTTTTCTTATTTTCTGTTTGACAAAAGACCTTGTAGGGGTCCCTATAGCATAACGTGGATTTAACCAATAATGTAGGAAGAGTGCCTGTGGTTTTGCTAAAGGTTTGGTTAGTTTAAAATGTCTTTCAGTTTATCCAGATTAGCACTTGCCAGAAAGAGCATGGATTACGTTTTATTCCCAATGGTTTAATTTGACATCAAAGGCTATATCAATAAACTTATTGCAAGGCACCCTTCCCTTGCTTGCCTTCTTATAACTCCCAGAAACGATGGTATCACTCCCACTTCTGTTTAGGGGCTTCCTAGGGAGGGAGGGCTGCAAGTTCCAAAGCATTCTCATGGTCTATTTGAGCAGCCAAGAGCAGCCAAAAGCAGCAGTGTTTTCCGTCAAGTATAAGAGGCAGTTAGATTGGACCACTTTTCCAGTGGGGAAAAGAAGGGGGAATAGAGTAGAAAGATTTAGTCTGTTTATATTGATGGTTTCTTAGAATTACTATGAAAAGAATTATTTAATTTATTTGATAAGAAAAATCAAGGTATTCTGTACCTCTTACACATAATGGAATTCATTATGCTGACTAAGTTGTTTCTCTGGTCTTAGTGAAATATGAGATATGTGGAAATTTGAGAGTGTGCTGGATAAATGTATCTGGCATGACACCTTAGCAAATCTCAAGGCAATACCTGGTATGACCGGCCAGTGGGACAGTAGGACTTTGGGTGATCTGGGTCTATTCTGACACAGGTCCTGCTCTTTCCTACTTTCTGGCTGTTTACTTGTCTTTTGATCCTGCAGAAACATAAATTTCAAGTTTTTGTTGAGAAAAATATAGGAAGGTTTTCATTTCTCTTTTGTAAGTGACTCTATCAATACTATATATATCTGTATCTATAACAAGGACACTGGTTTTATCAAAAGGACTTTAGTACAGGGATGTATAATAATATCTTTAAAGGACCTCTTAAATGACATGAACCTGTTAAAATGTTTCCCAACATTATTTGTCCCAGTGCCCTTGAATTATCAGTGAAAAGATGACATGAATAGCATAAACTATGACTAACTTTGACCTAATATTTTTGTCTGTCTTAATGGAGAATTTGGAATAAATCATGTCTGAACTTCTAATCTCCCTATATTAAAATAGACTAAATTAAAAATGTCAGCACTCTTGAGATTTAATTCTTGTAAAATACTTACAATGAGCTGTCTATGCTCAATGTTCCATAGTGATTAACAGTCTTTTGTTTTGAATTTCTATAGGTCTGGCTATTTTGGTTGCCACAGCATGGTATGGACATAGAATTGTTCAAGAGTTCTATGACCCCATGACCCCAGTCAATGCCAGGTAATGCTATTCATATGTAAAATAGTTTGTTCTCTGAGAAAATATCCTATTTTGTTTTCTGCAAAGTCCAGTTAGTACCATATTGCCTATATTTGCTTTCCAAAAGTTTACAAAATTTTATGTCAAACTTGAAAATAATTTTAATGGTCTGTGACTGATAAAATGAGTTTGACAATGGTTTTAGCATCCTGTATTAATAACAAAATGCACTTAAAAGTAAAAAAGTTCCCAGCTCTGTACTTTCCAACTGTATGCTGAACCTTTTTTCTTTTTGTTAATATTTAATAAAGATGTTGATACATTTGAGATTTCCTTTTGAAGTGTATTCTGATACATACAACACTTAATTCTGATTATTAGTAACTAACACACAGTTTATGACTGATTGAAAAAAATAGTTGCAGTGTAGGTGTTAATGAATAATACTTTAAATTTATTTAAAAAGCTATTTAGTTATGAAAAAAAATAAGTTGAGATACCACTTTGAAATTTTATGTTCCATCACAGCTATAAAATTGGCTTCACTAAGGTCATCTTTGTTAGTATTGCAAGTTGTGGAAGTTAAAGAGCCCAGTCTTAGCTCTTGTGTAACAACACCCTTTGATCTGCGACATGACTCTTTGCCTTGCTGTGCTCACATCTTTAAAGCCTAATAACTACGTTCAGAGTCAGGATGTCAAGATGTAATTACTGTTTGTTGAGTGCTAGAATGAATGGATGAAATGGCTGGAGAGATAAATGTGCTCCTTTTCATATAATCACCCACGGACAGGAGAACTCATACTGCAATGTTTATGTTGAAACCCATCTCATAAGATTTACAATGTAGGGATAGAAACTGCTAGAGGTCAGTAGGCTAAAATTTTACCAGTAATGGATGTGAAAGCACTTTGAAATTGCTGGGCGCCATGCACTTGTTGTTTGCATTGTCTCACGTGATCCTGAAAGCGGTCTAGCGAGGCAGATGGGATTATCTTGCTTTAAGAGAAGCAGAAACGGAGATGGAGAAGTGACGTTACTAGCTCACAGTTGTAACAGTTCAGAGTTTGAATGAGGATTTAAACCCACACCTTATAACTCTAGATCTAGCCCTTTTGAACCCTAATTGTCCACCGTCAATCACAGATCTTCTCCCCCAGAAATCTGGCTTAATACATCCACCTGGGTCAGCTTAATGTAGAATTTTCCATGGGTTGTTTATAAGTCTATTTAAAAAAAATAAATGTATTATTTTAATGTATATAGGTACCTGGAATCAACTATCGAGAACTCTAATAGTCTCCATCACACCCTAGCAGTTTCTTTATAGAACATGGTTGCCATTTGGCAATAGCGTGACTTGTTAAGTTTTAGCCTGGGAACCACGGTCCAAACTCAGCCTCTAAATTATATAAACAGGCTTGTCAAGTCTCCTACACATGGAAAAGTCTCTGGAAATATTTGTGTAATTAACCTGGTGTCACATGCCATATTGCCTGATTCTACTATTGCAAACTGTCAACAATTGCAATGTAAATATTCTTGTGTGCATGTGTTTGCAAATCTTAAAGCATTTTCCCCAAGGGATCATGAGGGATTATTTTCAGTGGAGAAAATATAATGCGTGTAATAGTGATTTCTTTCCTTTATTCTGTTGGAAAAGATTCCAGTGATTCGCTGACTGAACAAATGCTTTCTCTTTTCTCTTTTAGGTATGAATTTGGTCAGGCTCTCTTCACTGGCTGGGCTGCTGCTTCTCTGTGCCTTTTGGGAGGTGCCCTACTTTGCTGCTCCTGTCCCCAGAAGACAACATCTTACCCAACACCACGGCCCTATCCAAAACCTGCACTGTCCACTGGGAAAGACTACGTGTGACACAGAAGCAAAAGGAGACAAATCTGGTGGGCCAAGTGGAAAATGGACATTGAAATGTTATCATTGACATTAAGACCATACACTTTCGACTATTGTATTCTGAAGTGGTATTGCCAAAAAAATATTTTTTTAAATGTCCATTGCTAAAATGGCTTAGTCTTATTTTATCTCCTTTCCTCATATGGGAGGGAAGCCTTTTCAATTATTACTGCTTCCCACTGAGTAATCATCTCAAACATGGGAAGGAGGACTCTCTTTAAATATATATAGATATGTATATACACATGTTTTTCTATAAAAAAGATTAGGTAGTAAAACTTTTATTCTCATTATGTTGGTACCAGCATACTTAAAATTATATCTAAAAAAAGGAAAATATATTTAATTCTATATTGATTAAATAAGCAGTTTATTTGGTATATTTCTCTTCTTCCTATAGGTATACCTATATAATAGGACAAATATCATGTTCCCTCTATCATCATCTTTTAGTGTCTTTGACAGACTACCTAACCTACTTTGCTAAGTATGTCTTATTTCAATTCTTTATATGTGCTCTTTTAAAATGCTTATTTTACATTTCTTTTACTGTGATCTTTAGTCCTTGCTTTGTCATCAGTCATCCTTCATGCCTTTATTTGCTTTTATGAGATTGGGCTTAAGTCTTGGTCTGATAACCCATTTCATATGCCTACAATTTAATTCTTAAAGTCAATAAGAATCTCTTACAAATCAGAGCTTTGGGAGCAAATCTTGCTATATGACCAGATGATAGATTCCTGTTGACCTTCCCACATGATCCCTGTACTCTGACCTATAATACTTCTGTTTGCTTTGAAAATATTTGTCTCACTGAGGAGCTATGTGCTGCTTTCCCGGGTGTTACAGCATAATTTTATTGATGGAATTTTTAAGCTACTTCTTCCCAGTTGTATATCCTCCAAATTACCATTTTCTCCTCCCCTTCTTAACTATGTTGTTATCTCATATCTAATTATCACACAGTTTACCCCTTACCAGAGAGGCATGGCCAATGTGTCTGAATCAAGTGCTAGACTTTCTGTAGTGGTAATCTGATAACAAATATTTTCTCTGTAGCTATGAGTCAGTCTTTCTCCCTTTTTCCATCTGTCAAATTGAGATAATGATGCTTAACCAGCTGGTACAAGTGGTATGAGTATTAATTAGCTGATATCATACTCATTCTTTGAACATGAAATATGCCTAGGTGGTGTTTTTATTTGCTCAATTGGCTATTAAGAGAAGTCATTGAACCAAATCTACACACACACTTAACATGGGTCAGCACCTTCCTTTTCTCCCCTGGTCCATTTCCTTTCTTTCAGCAGCAGCTAGCACGTTGCTTGTGCCTTTTAACAATTGCTCTTTGATTTCCAGTCTGGACAGTGCTGCTTGACTTGAGCAAGATGATTTAATGGAAAGGGTGTTGGCTTTAGTGTCTGGAGACCTGATGGGACTCTTGCTCCTATCAGTCGCTGTGTGAGTTTGGGCAAGGCACTTGGCTGCCCTAGATTTCTTATAAAAAGGGGGTTGTAATTCCTGATCTGCCTACCTCACAGGGCTGTTGTAGGGACCCAGTGAGATGGGACATGGGTAAATGTGGTTTTGTCAGGGTAAAAGCATGGTACTAGGGGAAAGAATTAAGAATTTAAGTGCATAGGTTTGGATTCCTTGTCATATGACTGAAAAAAAGAGAAATTTTAAGAAATGGGTTTCTCACCTTAACCAATCTCTCAAGTGATGAGACACTCAAACAAAATTCAGCTTACTAAAGGAAAGGATTCTAAGAAGTCTTAGTTTCTTGAATCAGTATGGCCTGATGCTTTTTGTGGCTGACCTCTTCTCCTTTTAGGAGTGCAGACTTGACCTAAGACAAGTTTGGTGGTGGAATGGGGGACACTGAAGTGTTAAGTGTTGGCACAGTGAAAGAATGGGAGATCTTTGCATTATAATCACTTGCAAGGGTATACAAGCTGGTATCTGTTAACTGAGGTGTTGCTATTAGCTGGCAACTAACACAGCTAGGACAGGTAGTTTGGGGATGGTAATTCATAGTAAAACCACCTGGGGGACGTTATCCAAAGGGATGCATCACAGGAGGATTTCAACCTAGTAAGTTTTATTGCCAAACCTGAAAGTCTACACTCTGAGAAGGTATAATTTCAAGGAGCCTTTGCTACCTACATAGATCCTACTGGTGTGTGAGTATAAAAACATGTGGTTACTAGTTGCCCCACTCTACGTATAAATCTATAGTCCAAAAGAGCCAACAGAATTGTTACAACAGAATTTATCCCATTTTGATATTTTTGTAATCTGCTTCTGTACCTAGAAACAGACAAATAGGTATTTTGTGGTTTTGTAGTGGGAATTTGTATAAAACATCACTCTTTTTCAAAAAATTGTTTTTTAATAAAAAATAAACCATTGGCTTGTCCTCTTAATTATTTATATCAAGGTCACTATGCTTGAAAGAGGAGATGGCATCAGATAAGATCTGACTCACTATGTGTTCCTGGGCAAGAGCTATGGTCCCTCCTGGCCATCTGTCAAGTATTTGAGTGGCTCCACCCACCAGAATGCCCTACTCCTCTCAAACTGAGCTTCTTCCTCAAGTCTGGTGATAGAACAGAATGCCAGAGAAGTTACTTAATTTTCTTGATCTTTAAAAAGGGAATATGCAACAGTGAGTGACTAAATGATTAAAATAGCCAACTGTAAAACACTGTGCAACTTAAGGTAGTTTTATTCCTTGCAAGATGGAAGAGTGAAAAATAGCAGGATCTAAATCCATTATTGTTTTTGTAATGATTAATATCAGAGCTACCTCTTAGGAAAGCAGGTGATGAAACTCATCCACTCATAATTTGAAAATAATCAGTAATTGATAAACCCTTAATTGTAACTTCTCCCTGAGCAATTTTCATAATAAAGAGACAAGCTTGTACAAAGGATTGCAAGTCAAAGTTGAGTCTCAGGTATTAGCATAATGGGTCAGCCATGAAGATTACTGTCAGTTTCAGATGAACGCTCCTTAAGCTGATGCATCAGAATTCCAACACCCACAGAATTTAAATCCTTGGGGGCCTATGAATTTTGAGAGGAAATAAAATTCCTAGGTGCTCCTGATAAGAACACTTAAGGGAAAACCTGGATTGTAAATCATACCAAGTAGACATCCACCTGTATGAGCTCATCCTTGTTGAGTGCCATTATTCTGCAAACCATGCCATTTCTTCTCCCCTCATTTAGCATTTTCTATGTGGGCATGTGCCCAGGTCCAGGCAAAACTCCATACCATGCCCATACATCCACATTTTTAAGCCTGTTGTTAATCCTAGTAAAATCTGGCAGTGTATTTTTTTTCTCTTTTTGTTGCATGTGGCTCAGATAAGATTTCTGTAGTCCTTTCCTCCCCATCCCCAGACATATCCCATGTACCCTGCTCAGCCCTAAATCTGCACAATTAGCTGGTACCATGGAAACAGACAGATAATTGCAGGTTCTACAGTTGTGAGGACACCTTGTTGAGTCCAAAAACAATCAGAAACCTTCTCAGTGCTCTAAACTTCTACAAAACCTCATGGCACTTTTTATATTTATCTTCCATTGACAGGTTTTTCCATCATGCCCAGTATCGGCCATTGGATATGAGATGTAAATTCATTCAATTACTATTAACCCAACACACCTATCACAGGCCCAGTGCCATTAAATGTGAACAAGGCTAAAGGATGTAGGACATGAATGAGACCCTGGCCTGGGCCTGAGCAGGGTGAAGAATATTAAGTGAGAAAGGAACTGGACTTGCAACCTAGCAGTAGTTCTGCCATTAGTCAGCCATGGGGAGCTACAGAGATCTCCACCCACTTCATTTCATTTGTAAAAGGAAGCGCTTGGTTCTTATCCATAACCACATGGTAGAATCACCTAGGAGCTTTTGAAACTTCACAGTTTCAGGGCTTTAATTCAGATCAGCAGACTCAGAACCTCTGAGATGAGGGAACCAAGTATGAGTTTCCCAGGGGATCCCAATGCTGTATGGATCGCATACCATGAGACTTTGACACTTCAAGACCAATCTTGCTCAAAAAAGTTTCTGAAAAAACACATATCCAGACACTTCATAGATTACATTGTTGTTTATCCACCTTTTCTCTATTATGGTTTTATTTTCTAGTGTTAGGTTTTTTCTTTATTTATTTTGGGGAGGGGAGGGGAAGAATTAAAAGGAAGTGGTCTTTAGAAGCTGTTGCCAGATTTCTTTAAAAAGTAACCTCCTTTTTGTCATTTTCTATTATTTTTTAATTACCCCCATGAAGTCCTTAATACAAAGCAAATTCATAATACAAAACAAATAAAAAGAATAGCTTTCTGCTTAACAAATAAATTAGCTCAAGAGGAAAGTGATTATGAAGTGGAACCTGAGTTATTTTACTTTGTTACATGAACTTTTCAGGAAACTCCTTAGCCAAACCATAATATTGTTTCATTTATTTTTAATTGGGTAGCATTTCTGTAATTTTACTTCATTTATCCCTTCTGTGACTTAGTGCTTTGATTCTCCTCCCCCCAGAAAAGAAAAATAAGTAAACACACATATACCAATTAGGGGAAAGCTAAAATTTGAAAACCACTTTTTCTTAACTGAATTTACTTGAACTAGAGCACTTTATTCCTCCAAAGGGACTTTTTTCTTTTCTTTTAATAGTTTTTGTCCATGAGTTTCATGTTACCATTATTTCTGTGCTTTCCCCAAGTATCTATGGCTGCTGCTTGACCACAAAAATGTCCAGCAGCCTATATGTGACCTGAAACAAACAGACATCTAAATCGAGGGTTAGGGGTAGCAGAAAATATTTCCTTGGATATGAGAATGGAATAAAAGAATGATAAATGAGCTCTAATACAGTAAGGACAGAGACTATATTTTTGATGATTATTTTTTACCACTATTTATTTTTCCCAATAATAAAATTAAAATGCATCAATAAAGTAAGGCAATAATTATTTTAAAGACAGTAACAGTCATATTCAAAAGCAAAACTATCAATAATTTGATATGACCTTCTTCAGTCTTTTTTTTCTCCCCAAAGATAGGCTTTGGGGTTAGTTTTATTTTTTTTACTTTTTACATAGTATATAGTAAAAATAATTTTTATTTCTGCTTTGTTTTTCATTCAAGTGTATGGTAATATATTTGTTACCATGCAGACTAGACTTCATATTCATTCATTCATTCATTCAATCAGATAATCTTTTTGAGAATCTCATATTTGCTAAGCATCTTCTCCCACAATGGAAATGGTGCCCCTGAATTTGTGCAACAAAGCAACCGTGAATGAAACAGACAAAAAACCTTCCCTCCAGGAACTAATCTAGAATTCTCAATGAGGAATATAGACAATAAAATAAATGTGCCAAGTACATATTATATTAAACCATAGTAAGCCTTAGAGATAAAAATTAAAGTAGGCAAGGAATAGGAAAGTTGGGGGAAGATAACAATTTAAAGTAATGAGGACGTGGAGGTCCTCAATGAGAAGCTGATGTTTAAGAAAGAATCTAAAGGAGATAAAGAAGGAAATCAAATGGTTATCTAGGGGAAAGAACATTCAAGAAAAAGCAGGTCTAAATAAGGTGAAATGTATAAAATGCTCAAGAAAGTGTAAGGAGGCCAGCGTTACTGGAATGGTTCAAGCTCAGAAAAGTTAATAGAAGATAAGGGCATAAAAGGAAGGGGAATCTAAACTGTATTGTTTAGACCATTGTAAGGACTTCATCTTTTATTTGAGTAAAAGGGAAAGATAATGTTAGGTTTTGAGCAGAGGAAACAACATCTAAGCTGCAATAGGATCATTTTTCCTGTCTTGTTGAGAATGGACTATGAGGGGTCAAGAAGAGAAGCACTGAGTTCAGGTAGAAGGTTATTACAGTATTTCTGGCAAGAGATGGTTTGCTAATAGCAATGGGAGGTGAGAAATGGTTAGAATCTGGGTATAATTTTAAAAGAGAGCCAGCAGATTTTCCTGATTGAAGGGATGGTGGTTTCAGATTAAAAGTAGATGATCCCAAGATTTTTGGCACAGGCAAATGATAGGACACCGGTGCCAACAACCAAAAGAGTCTGAGAGAACAGGTTTGGAAGAGAATTTCAGAAATTTAATTTTGGACTCATTGAGTTTAAAATGCCTATTGCACATCAAAGTAGAGATGTCCAGGAGGGAGTGGAAAAAAAAAAGCAGGTGTGGAGAATTACAATGAATAAAGGTTTTCAAAAAAAAATAATCAAACAGTAGTTTCACATAATTTATCAAGTTGAAAAACATGCCCCAACCTTTGGACATTTAAGTTGACAGCTATAATTACTAGGCTAAAAAGTCAATAAGACTGGAAGTCAAATCTATTTTGCCCATTATGGAATCATTTACAGTCACACTTTGGAGATATTGCAGGTTTAGTTCCAGACCACTGCAATAAAGTGAATATTACAATAAAGTGAGTCAAGTGAATTTTTTGGTTTCCTAGTACATATAGAAGTTATGTTTACATGACACTGTAGCCTATTAAGTATGCAATAGCATTATGTCTAAAAACAATGAGCACATCTTAATTAAAAAATACTTCTTTGCTAAAATATGCTCACCATCACCTGAGCTTTCAGCAAGTCCTAATCACTGATCACACAGCACCATAACAAATGCAATTATAAGAAAAAGTTTGAGATACTGCAAGAATTACCAAAATGTGATACAGAGACACAAAGTGAGCAAATATTATTGGAAAACATGGTACCAATAGACTTGCTCAAAGCAAGATTTACACAAACCTTCAATTGGTAATAAAACAAAAACAAAAACAAAAAAACAATATCTGCAAGATGCAATAAAGTGAGGCACAATTAAACAAGGTATGCCTGTATATTATCTTCCAAAGTTTTCATTCCATTATTGAGAGTCTCCTGGTATAAGAGAGTCATAGACTTGCTCTAGATTTTAGACCTGATTCTGCCCTTCCTTAGCTCTACCTTTTAATGATTACATTTTAATAACTTAATGTAGCAGAAACCAAATGTATCAGTTTAGATATTCTGGGAAGCAGGATGTGAAGGCAGCGTTAGACGTGCACTAGATGGAATGCTACTGCTGTGAAAGAGGAAGAAGGAAGAAACAGGAGTTAAACAGGAAAAGCTTCCTCAGGGGTTGGTAAATTGTCTGTAAAGGGCCAGATGGTAAATATGTTAGCCTTGTGGGATACTTGCAGTCTGACACATATTCTTCTTTGGTTTTTGTTTTACAAGTCTCTGTCTGGACTGCAAAACTGTTCTTTGCTTATGGGTTATACAAAACAAGGCTATGGTTCAAATTTGCCCTATAGGCTGTAGTTAGCTTGCACAGCCTAGTCTGACACCTGTGAAGAGACAAAGGGAG